GCATCCAGTCACAATGGCAGCATCCAGTCACAATGGCAGCATCCAGTCCCAGTGGCAGCATCCAGTCCCAGTGGCAGCATCCAGTCACAGTGGCAGCATCCAGTCACAATGGCAGCATCCAGTCCCAGTGGCAGCATCCAGTCCCAGTGGCAGCATCCAGTCACAGTGGCAGCATCCAGTCACAATGGCAGCATCCTGTCACAAAGGCAGCATTCAGTCACACTGGCCGCATTCGTATCCGGAAATTTGATCGAAAGAAATTTCGTCGACGGTAAAATTGATCGACGGTAATTTAATCGAACGGAAATTTGGTCGAATCTATTTTTCAGTTCTTACGTTGAAATTTTGCTTCAAATTTTCTATAAGAAAAAAGAAATGTGACGCAAATGTTCACGTGTGAACAGAAAAAAAGTTTCGACCAAATTTCCGTTCGATCAAATATCCGTCGATCAATTTACCGTCGACGAAATTTCTTTCGATCAAATTTCCGGTAACCGGCAGCATTCAGTACATCAATTCCGATTGAAAAGCAGAAAACATCTGAATCTATGCATTACCCACAAGCTTCACACGGTTAAGGACACCTGGGCCCACATCTTTGAACCCTCCACTGTGTTGTCCGAGCACACCAGCATTAAATCAATGGTTGACGTTCCCTAGATTCCAGTTTCTGGCGAATGGGCGCACAGAGCGGGACGTGTGCAAATATTTAAGGACTCTTATGGTGAGGTGAATGAATGCATACCTAGGTTATTTAAAATTCAAACTACTTCAAACACGAGAACTGTCGGGTTTGTTAGGATAAATTCTGAAATTTCAATATTAATAATAATAATAAAGTTCATTTCAAAAACAGCTTCAGCCCCAAAGGCTCGAAGTGCGGTACAAAGTCAACAAAAAACATATCTATAATTTACCACATTTAAAACAAACGCAACACTACAAAAACTAATTACAAGCATACAATGGCAAAGTCTTTCTAGCCATTTCAACCCGGAGCAACACAGCCATTATGCATTAACTGGAAAATAAGGTAGACAATCATCCCAGAAGGTATTTGCGAAAGGTATTTTAGATATTAAAAGTATTGCGTTCATGTTGAAACAGTAGTATATACAAATTACGTGGCAAGGGAATATCTCAAGGGACAAAAAAAAAACCGCTAAATAGTATCGAGAAAATGACGGAAAGAAACGTTTCTTCATCAGACGGAACAATACAATAGAGAGGTGTTGTTTTTTTAAAGTAGCCTACAAAATAAAAATAACAATATAATTTTATTTTTTTTAAATTCAAGCTTACCCTTTATCGTTTATTTTCTGCTGACAAAATCAATCATTCTAGACCAAGTCAGAGCCAATCCACGTTAGGCTACAATCTTGCAAACACACACTCATACACACACACACACTCATACACAAACGAAATTCAGGCACGACCTACAAGAACTCCAGTGGGTCATGAGCCAGGTCGGTGAAGTCCATGGCCATGAGCCAGGTCGGTGAAGTCCATGTGATTTTTAAAGGGATATAGTATTAATATTTTTTTTAAAAATGTGTTATAGTTTTGGTTTGTAAATCTTAATACTAAGATCCTGCAGCCTGCAGCGCCTCTGTGACCATCTCTACGAAAACAACCGGTTGAGAACCACTGACCTTTGAACCCTATCCCGACATGGGGTATGACATAGTGACGTCCCGTTTGATCTCTATCCAGACATGAGATATGACACAGTGTGACGTCGCGTATGATCTCTATCCAGACATGAGATACGACACAGTGTGACGTCGCGTTTGATCTCTATCCAGACATGAGATATGACACAGTGTGACGTCGCGTTTGATCTCTATCCAGACATGAGCTATGACACAGTGTGACGTCCCGTTTGATCTCTATCCAGACATGAGCTATGACACAGTGTGACGTCCCGTTTGATCTCTATCCAGACATGAGCTATGACACAGTGTGACGTCCCGTTTGATCTCTATCCAGACATGAGCTATGACACAGTGTGACGTCCCGTTTGATCTCTATCCAGACATGAGCTATGACACAGTGTGACGTCCCGTTTGATCTCTATCCAGACATGAGCTATGACACAGTGTGGCGTCCCGTTTGATCTCTATCCAGACATGAGCTATGACACAGTGTGACGTCCCGTTTGATCTCTATCCAGACATGAGCTATGACACAGTGTGACGTCGCGTTTGATCTCTATCCAGACATGAGCTATGACACAGTGTGACGTCCCGTTTGATCTCTATCCGGACATCAGCTATGACACAGTGTGACGTCCCGTTTGATCTCTATCCAGACATGAGCTATGACACAGTGTGACGTCCCGTTTGATCTCTATCCAGACATGAGATATGACACAGTGTGACGTCCCGTTTGATCTCTATCCAGACATGAGCTATGACACAGTGTGTCGTCCCATTTGATCTCTATCCAGACATGAGCTATGACACAGTGTGACGTCCCGTTTGATCTCTATCCAGCTACGAGATATGACACAGTGTGGCGTCCCATTTGATCTCTATCCAGACATGAGCTATCCAATAACTCTCAAGCGTAAGTAAGTCTCCAGCACTAGTGTCACCATTAATTCAACAACGAAGGAATGTTTTAAGCACGTCAACAACAACAACACACACACACACACAAATTTAACAAAACATAAATCAATTTTTTTTAAAAACCAATACAAACAAACTGCTCAATGATTGACGACAGGTGAAGCCCGGGAGTGTAGCGGAACACCACAAGGTGGAATGCTACGTTAACTTTAGCAACAACAAAAAAGAAAGAAAAAAAGGAACCAACCTATTTATGTCATTGGACCGTGTGCGCGACTACTGCATGGGCTGTCCACACAGGCAATAGGGTACCCAAACCTGACACGGCGCTATCGCGTTACCTTGGGACGTTATTGAGGGTGAGGGGGTGAGGGGGGGTGAGGGGAGGAGGGGGGGGGGGGCGTTCAATGGCTTTGTGCCCTTTGAAAGAAAAATTAGTTTCTGTGGAAGGGTTTTTCCATTTTTCTTTTTAAGCTAGGTTTCGAGGTCTTTAGTGAAGTGTGTGCTTGTCTGTGTGTTGAGGAGAAGGGGAAGGGAGGGGGGGGGGGG